CTGCCTCTTCTGTAATCTCTCCCTTCTTGTGCTTCAGTTTTTTCTCAGTGCTTTATGACAGCCTAGCTCAGACTGACATAAAAACAAGAATTAGTTTCCTCAACAATCTTCCTAAACATTTTGCTTCAAAACATGCACTAACATATAATTTGATTCCTTTTTTGCTCAAGGCTCAAAAATTTTTGCCTGCATAAGGGTGGAACATAGGAAGGTCAAAAGACAAATGGATATTGCTCACTGGGCAATTTTTAAAACCAGAAAATCTAACCCAAAGGTTGCCCTTGCCAAAATCACAGGAAGACTTGGCAGCAGTGACATGTGCTCCCTGCTTGTATGACATCCTCTTCCATCTATCACTGACATGGACCCACAACATCCACAGTTACCATCCATCTTTTGTGCCTGTCTAGTGCTGCTTCTTGCTCCTGTCTACAGCTCAGGAGTCACTTTCATTCTTTTTCTTAATTATTTCAAGTGTCAATTAGGTTAGCTGGGACAGTATGAGGTATCTGGTAGACTGACAGCCTCAGGTGGTGATGTTGTGCAATGTTTGCTTAATTGCCTTCATATAATCATGCTGTTTATTCTGTTACTCAACTAGAAAGGATATGCTGTTTGAAGATTAGATATTTGGTTGATAAGTGGAAAGATAAATGTGATAATATTGCCAACTAGAGAGGGTAATTTAAAACTGCATTGACTAAAGGACAGCTATGTTACATAATTTTGCTGACTGGGAGCAGGAGTCAACTCTTTTATTACCCAGATGTGCTGAGGTGAGGCTGGTTTTGCCATCCTCTTTCTCCTGGGTGCAAATGTTAGAGGTGTTAGTGCTAGTGATACTAACACTAAGCATGTGTTAGTATCAGGTCTGTCCTGGTTCCAGCCAGAATAAAGTTAGTTTTTGCAGTAGCCAGGAGGGGACATGGCCAGGACCTGGAGGTTATTCTGTACCAGCTCATGTTATTTTCTGAGGATGGGGTCCCTTCTGGTTGAGTGAGTGTGGCATGAAGAGACAGAGGTCAGGTAGTGCCAACTCACTCTGTCACCGATATTACTGCTGTTTGTGTTTGTTTTATTCCATTGCTCTTTCCAGTAAATTGTTCTTATCTCAGTCTGTGATCTTTACCCTTTGTGCCTCCAATTCTCTTCTCCATCCTGCCACAGGCGGACTAAAAGGGGGGAGTGAGAGAGCGAGGGATGTGTGATTTGGAATGCTTCAGTGGGAACACTAAAACGAAGAATACTATTCCTAAATCACAGCAGTCTTATTTAAATATCTTTTCTGATTCTTATGCCAGCACAAAAAACACTGCCAGAGACAAATAAATGATCCCCCTTAAAACTCTAGGAATCTTCAAGCAAAAGAAACAAGTGAGTGGACATGGGATTTGCTCAGCATGAGGCACAAAGGCCATTGTGAAGGTGGAGCTGGAAACCTTGAATCTTTAATTCCAGGCATCTGCCTGTATTTGGCAAGGGAAGATTTCTTGCAGGAGGTTGGAAGATTTCTTGTTGGAGGTTGGGTGCATGCTTAACAATTCCCAAGTCCTAAACATATTTTCAGGTATTAGTATTTAAGTAATTAGCATTTAAGTTTTGTGAACACAAGCTGCTTTGGCAAGGAAAATGCTATACAGATTCATGGTATCCAAGAGAGATTTATTCTTCTAGGATGAGGTACTAGTAAATTGCTGTTGGCCTATCTAGCTTTTTGATAATGACATCATGATTGGTAAGTCTGACTACCATGATAAAAGCAACAAACCAGAGCTCAGAGTTTCTCCTGATGTTTCTGAAATCCCCAAGAGGATTAATTTATGCTTAGGATGTTCAGTTCATTCAAAGGTGTGCCATTAAGTGTGCTGTTGCTAATGTAATGTCAGAGGCCTTAGAGCTAAGCTGCAACTTTTCATCAAGCTTAGAGCTCCTGCAGCTTTGCTCTGTAAGGCAGGTGGAAGGTCAGTGCTCAGAACAGAGAGCCCTAACCTGCTGCTCCTGTCTTCTCACACGTAGGCAAAATTTCATTGGGGGAATTAAGAAAAAAATAAATATTATATTTTGACCTTTTCCATTAGAAATGACGGAAGTCAGAGAAGGAAGTTCTTTATGTTGCTTTACACAGAGCCATCATCCTCTTGGCTAATGCCCTCCCAGGCTGCCCTCAGGACAGCAGTGAGCTATGTGCTGGCTGCTGAACTAGTGAAGGCAAACAAACTCACCCTTGCCCGAGAGGAGTGACAGCAGAGACCCACAGGAGCCCACGGTGCTTTGTCATGCTCCCCATGCACCTGGGTTAACTGGGCCCTCTTGGTTTCCTTGCTGTGCAGCTGACTTTTAGGATGGGAGATCAGCTTTGTAGACGCTGAATGAGAAAAAGCAGTACTCAGGTATCAGCAAGACTCTTCCAGCCCCTGGGTGGGGAGGAAGGGGGGGACTAGCAAACAGGGAGGGAGGAAAGTCCATTTCCAGATAAGCATGTTGAAAGGTTGAAAACAGGGAGAAGTCTGCTTTTCTGCTCAAAGTTTACTTATTGATAGGGACTTGGTTCTTGGCTGCTCCTGCTGCTTGGTGCATATGTTTAGAATTTGTAGAGCTTTATGTTCTGCTGTAGAAAATTATAATGTCAAGTGAGGAAAAGGGTAAAATATCAGGACACTCACAGGACATGATGTCTGTTACCAGTATTTTATATGGGCTTTTATTCAATTTTGTCGTCAGGAGTCCTCATGATTGCTTCAGTGTTGTCATCATGTGAGCACACACACACAAACACACACACACAGTATTTGATTATAGATTTAGCTATCTGTCTTTATACACTAATTTCCTGCACATTGGTAGGATCGTGGAACTAACTGATGTGACTTCTTATAAATAACTGAAGTGAAATCTCACTTTACAAGAAAAAGCTTCATGTTGAAGACCTTCCTGATCTGCACTATTGTAATTCCTTATCTTGTGCTTGTGAGATATTTTTCTTTTCAAAACATTCTTCAATTCTGTCAAAAAAATTTGCCTTCCTCTGTCACAATTAACTACACACACTTACAAAACTGCAGTGAATACATATTTCCACTTTTTTTTATTCCTCTCTCTTGCTTTTGCTTTTTGATGCAGTAGTGCCTTGTACAGTTGGCTTATTATTTCCCCTGGATGCTCAGTTCCTTGTTTGTACTGCTTTTTATCATAGCAGCAAGAAGAAAGTATCTTTTATAATAGGGAGATGAGAATATGACTATTAAGCCACAAAAGCTACATGATACAGACAGAAGTGTTGTACATGAAATTATTTTGCCCTAAACTAGATTTTAGTAACACTTTGATTTCTATTAATTATGATGTCAGTTCTTGTTATTAGAGAAAAATGATATACAAAATCATATCAATGGAAGGTTATATAATTTGTTTCCCAGACACATATTTCCCTTGATGAAAGGTACTGTATTTTAAGATGAAATTCATAATTCTTTTGCCTTCCTGGATCACAATTTTGGTCATAAATTCAGTAAAGATTAAGATGGCTATCAAAAGGCACATACATTAAAAACTCTTCTTTGGGCATAACAGGTTTGACTGATTACACTTTAACAAACATCTCTGTGAGAGTATGGTTTATCTTTAAATCAGTATTTTTAGAATTATGTACTAATTGTCAGGAAGTTCATACAAGTTTCTTTTATAGCAGTTTCCTAAGGTTAATAACATGATCAGAATTCTTGTTTTCCTCTCCTCCTCTGTAAGGCTTCAAAGAACTGGAAGTATCCTTATGCTGATAAACAGCATAAGATATTAATGCAGAACCAAGACTAAAGTTTTAAAGTCTCATCCCAGAATGGCATTAGCAAACCATACAAGACTGGTGTTCATACTTCTCTACTTGTTTTTTTATTACAAAATTTTGGTAACAGATGAGTTTTAATTATGCTGTGTCATAGTTTTGGATCAAACTTTCAGCTACAATTTCAGACATCATTAATTAAGGTTTTTCTATGAAACTAATGAAGCTGTATGTCCTGGGGTCCAGATTAAGTCACCCAAACACATCTGGTGCCACATGAGATACCCTCAAGGAGCGTGCCTGGCCTCTGACTGCCCTTGCAGATGGGTGTCTGCTCTCCTTCCATGGGTCCTGTGTTATATCCACCAGCTCAGATGGCATCTCAGGGCACTCCACACCTATGGCCAGTCAGCATACCAGTCCTGCCCCAAAAAAGCTTACAGCATAACTTTTTGAGATTGGTGAGAAGGAGTTAATAGATTAAATTTTCCATGTCCTCTGGAAAATCTTGGAGGACTGCTCTTCCAGTGCTTTTTTATTTAAAGACACCTGTCTCTCCAATTTATATCCATTTTGGCCTGACAGCCATTTCTCTTACTTTTCTTACTCTTTAAAAATGCATTTTGTGGGTAAGTGCTGGCAAAAAGCCTGACCTGCTATCACCAAGTACTGCCATCAAGTCTGATGTATTAACGGTCTTGGTAAACCTGCAAGGTTAATAGGGAAATGCTCATAGCTGTGTGTATCATATCCTCATTAATCTGTAATGTTGGAACATAGAAAAAGCTTGGGACTATTTCTCAGCAGAGGGCATAGTAAGGATTTTCTTGCCTTCAGTAGAGCAAGAGGAATTAATAGGCTTTAAAAATACCATTCATCTTCTCTTTTGCTTACAAACATATTTCTGTATCGCCTCCTCCTACTCTCCATGAAAGTTTTACTGTTGAAATTGCCAGTATAAGAGAATAGCTTTCTTTGCCTTTTCTGAAGATGAGTAGAACCAGATAATGAAAAGTATTAATAATTAAAAGATGCAATAACCTCATCTGATTGATGGGAATTCTTTTTTTCCCTAGGAAATGTGGATGATGGGAATAAACTATGAAAAATTATTTCATACCTTTCTTTTCATACCCATATATTTTGTAATACTAACATTGATTGCTACAACACTGGATATTTTTCCCTTTCCAAAAATATATTTACTATTTCAGTTTACCTAGATATTTGGCATTGCTGACATCCTGAAGAAATAAATTCCAAGATCAAGTTGCATAACAAGATTTATGTCTGACACTTCCTGACACAGGTAAATGTCTTGTTGCTCCTATTCTTCTGACAAGAAATGGAAACATAACTTCTCTGAAGCTTTTCAAAGGCATAAAGTTCCACACTTTGTAGGTCTTCCAGGTTTAAAATTTTTGCTCGTTCAGTGGCTATTTTCTTTCATCTTTCTCCAGGTCTTCTCTAACTGCAGAATCTGCACTCGTGCTGCAGGACCCATTAATGCTAAGTATTTCACTGTTGTATATTTCACTGTTATTTTTTTTCTCCACTATGATTTCACTCTGGATTTCACTCCACTATGGTTTTTCATTCACTAGTTGCCTGGTTTATAGATTACTGTGTAACCTGGGCTTTGTATTTGAACTCATCAGGATCTTGGCAGAAGTGTAAAACCAGCATATTGAATAATTGTTGGAAAGTTGTCACCAACAGTTCCCAAATGTTTTCTCCAGCTGATTCAGTAAGATCCCTGAATGTGTGCTGATATCCTCTTATCTGTTTTGTTTTTTTTTTCAGAATTATTAAAGAGTTAATAGATGGTGTGTGGGTAAAATTCTGGATTTTACTTATGATATTTGAAATTTAGTGGTCCTAATTTGTTTTAAGCACTTAAAATCATGCAGCCTTGCAGAGTTATGGCCATCTTTGCTAATAAAATGAACTTGGGTATCTTCGCCAACTTAATTATGAACACTTTGTTCTCAACCATAAATCAATATTAAGAAATCCCTGAATTAATCTGCAGTTTGAAGGAGTCAGCACCCTGTGGTTGCTGAAGGATGCTTGCTCCTGCAGGGAAGCAGCCCAAGGTTATGGTGGTGGCAGGGGCTGAAGGTGGCAGGATGGAGTCTGCCTGTGCCCACCAGCAGGGACACATCTCTGAGTTACCCTGCTTAGCAGAACCAGCAGGCATCCATCAACAACAAAGAGATATTCCAGGGTCACACAGGTCTGAGAGCAACTCTGGCCTCCAATATGGGTCCAACTGGCTGTATTTAAACACTTGTCTAAGTCACATGAACTGCACTGGGGTGGTTCCTTTATTTTCTCTGTATCCTCTGATGTTCTTTTCAGGTTTGCAAATATAGTTCAACAAATATTAAATAAGACAACTGGAGGAGAACTTCTGAATTTTCAAGGTCTGTTTTCTGCTATCACAATAAACACATTTTCACCTTGCTGATTAATGGCTCAAGATTGAAACCAAATTAGTTTTCTGCTATTATTATTTCTATTGAGTATCAGCCTTTAGGTAAAAACCTTGTATCTGATTCCTTACCATGCTTCTTTCACAGCTAGTTTTGATGAGCTGAGATTACTTCTGTGACTGGCCTGTTTACCTTCTGGCACTGTCAGACAGCAGTCCGTATCTTGCTAGTCAACCTGCTGAAAACAGGCACAATAATTTCTATTTCTCCTTTTGGATTGACTCTTCACTTTTCAGACACCTCAGTAGCCTTCTCTGCATCTACCCCAGCTGGTATTCTTCTTTTCATAATCAAGGTATTTCAGATAAGAGCCTAATGAATAGTATTAGTAATTCAGTAATGGAAATTACTATTTTGTTGCATTCTGGGGTTGTATTTGGTGAGGATTTTTTTGGTTGTGGTTTTTTTGATTGTTTGTTTTGTTATGTTTGTTTGTTTGTTTGCTTGCTTGTTTGTTTGTTTTGTTGGTGTGTTCTTTTAATGTTGTATTTCACAATTGTCTAAAATCAACAACACAAATCTACCCTGAGATCAAGCAATGTATTCCTTCTCACTATTCATTTCAAGGTATAATTTGTTCTTTATTTCTTTCTGCTTAAATTATTTTCCCTTTCAAAACAAGAAATCCAATTTCTTCTGTAGGGAGTCTGTTCAGATCCTTTCCTGACAATACATCCCCAGTTTGTGTAATTTATCTTAGAATTGTTTAGCTTGGAAAAGACATTTAAGATTCAAGACTTAGCCCAGCACTGCCAAAACCCAAATGCCATATCTGCACATCTTTTAAATACATCCAGGGATAGTCTTCACCACTTTCATGGGCAGATTGTTTCAATGCTTGACTACTCTTTTGGTGAAGAAATTTTTCCTAATATTGTTATATCTGCTATCAGTAAAAAGGGCCTATGCAGAAGGATCTATGCAGTCTGTGAAACCATAAATATTCAAGGAGTTATCTAGAGATCCTCTAAAGAACATATTCTGCTCCTCCATCTAACCATCCATTTATCTAACAGTCAAGGATAAATTATTTATAGTGAATTTTGTTAGTCTTAGTAATTTCCCCTTTCTTTGCAAATTATCCAGAAAAGGATGATGATTCTTAAGTCACAACATGCATTTTTATACTTAAATATAAGGTTAGGATGTGGCTGAGTGCATGTCTTCTTTCTAACTATTCCCTACTAGTCCTGATTTCTAAGGGAAGAGTGAATTAAGCAAATGAGAATTTGGTTGCTTGCTGTGGTGACAATTCTTTGGAAGGTGAAAGAATAAAGAATGGTGGAAAAGAATTATTTGCAGAAAAAAAAAATGTAAACCTAGAAGATACAGAAATGGACTCGCCTCAAGAGTCAGAAGGGAGTGGCTGGAGTTGTTTTTTCAATAGGATAAGAGAGAAGTGGTTGAGAGAAAGGCACTTTGGAAATCCAAGGGAGCAGGTCCTAGATCTTGTGACAGAGAGTTTAAGAGACAATATTGGAAGTAAGGCCAAAAACCTGACTTTGACACTGAACTGTCACTGTATTTTACTAGATGTGGTCTGAAAAAAAAGATGTGTTATGCTATGCTGTATACCTAGAGAATAGCTGGCTGATGGATGGTCTAGGATGTCCAACAGGTTTGTAGGCAAACAATTCCTCTTCACAGCAGCAGCCAGCTGCATTTATTTTTGTTTCCTTTGCTGCAGTCAAAGCTGTCCTTGCAAACCATTGGAACCCTGTATGTGTTCCCACCTGTTATGGGGACCCCTGCAAAGCCTCATTTTCACTTGTCCAAGGGCTCAGCAATGTCTTGATGCCTTTTCTCTTGAAATAAACTGCTTTGTCTCCTCACCCTGTGTGTGTCAGGATGTGTGAGAGTACATTCTGACAGCACCCACACCGATGCATGTTTGGATAGTAACGCGAGACTCTTATTTAAATGCTGCGAACCCTTCAGGAGTGTGGCTTGTGCTTTGTTTGCTGAGCCATATTTAAAAGCACTTTGCAAGACGTTGAGGAACAAGTAAAATTGGCAGCCCCTCCTGCAGTTCTCCTTGCCTGTGGCACGCCTTGGTTGCCACAGCTTTGCAGGGTGCCCAGGGAGCCCAGCGGCAGCGAGGTGGAGGGAGGGACGAATGGCAGCGCAGATTTTGATTTTCCACACTCAGCAATGTGGTCACAGGGCATTACAAATGGAAAACAGAATGCTGCTTTCTTGTTTCTAAATGTAATTTTTATTTGTTTGAAGTAACTTTATACCTGGTACAGCTTTGCAACAGGCAGGTGATACGTCAGAGTACCAGAAGCTATTGTCCTGTAGTGAACTCTCTCTATCGCTTACTTGAGCCTAACAGTACACACTGCATGACATCAGCAACCCAATGACTCATACAGCAAGATACCATAGGTGTGTTCCTATATCCTGGAGATCAGAAAAATCCCACGCAGAAGACTTGGCTTGTTTTTCCTATCTTGTTATGGAAACTGCGTGCATAGGCTCTAAGAGCATTAAACAACTATAAATGAAGTATTTCTGTTTCTTATCAGAAGATAAACTGCCTGTTTAAAAAAGGTGTTGCCAAGCCCAGGAGAGCCTCTTAAAAAGCTACAGGCTGCTGATTGTAGCTGTGTAGGGGGCAATGTTGTGTGTAAAATATTTAATATTTCCACAGTGAACACTTGTAATCCTGATTGGGGGGAGAGTCCAACTTATCTGAAGCATTGGACACACCTGAAGATTGAAAAAAATCAGTAGTTCTATATATAGCAAAAAATGTATGAAAAGGGATGCAAATTGCCCAGTTGCAGGGTGACACTACAGCTCCTCCTCCTTCTACATAAATGAAAATATAGATAAGGAGTACTTACAGGCAGTTTAGAGATTCTATCTCTAAAAAACAGCAGCAGGTAGTTTCAGTGAAGGCATTTAACAGAGCACTTTTTCCTCAATTTTCTTTTACTTTAACAACTTCTTACACATCCCATTCCAATTAATTTCTAGGATAATGATTTTCACCTGCTTGCCTATTTGATGTCTGATAACTTTACCATGTAATACTTGGTTCAGTTTCTCTTCATGGCATACAGATAGGGAGGAGTCATTAGGGTGCCTGCTGAAACAGGCTGGAATGGTTCCACAAAACTTCAGAAGTAAAAACAGGAAGAAAATTTGAAGGTTGAGTGTTGTGGCTCATTGGTCACCCCTCAAAATACTTGGTGGTTTAATAAAGGAAAGACTTACTTTATTAAAAAAAAAACAGGCTAAGAACCTTATAAAAAACTCAAGAAGTTTCTGGAATTTTCTATTTCTCATCAAAAGAAGGGAAACATACATAGCCTTTCATATGGCATTTCAGTATTCCTGCTTCCATTCCCAGCTGAAACACAGAAAGGTAGAGTCACAAACAAATTCAGAATAATGGCAGCATTGCAGTAAGGGCATGCTGGATCTCACATACATGATCTACACTTCAGGAAAAGTTTCAGAAAGGGAGAAGCAAATGAATTCCACTGTTACCTGGGTCTGCTACATCTCATGCTCTATGGTGCTTTTGAGCTGTGAATGACTGGAGCCTGTGGAAGCAGGAGGTGCTCTGTTTGTGTTTGTATTTCCATGGCAATGCAACAAAGAAGTTGTTTGGTCTCCTTTCCTTAAGAAACCTGCCAAATCACTCCTCTTTATAGAGCAAGCCGGAAGAAGGAATATAGTTGGCATTCTTGTGGAATATGTAACCTTGTTTCAGCTTCATGCAAGTTGTAGATATCATTCAAGTGTTTCATGAGTATTTTTAATTACCAAGGACTTAGCGTAATTTTGTACTGATGATTTAAATGCTTGGTTGTCTGAACTGATTCTTGCCTCCTTATGCACTTTCTCATTTTTGTGATGTAGGATAGATTGGGTTGGAAGGAACCTTAAAAATCTAATTCCAACACCTTGTCATGAGCAGGGACACTTTTCATTAGACCATTGCTCAGACCTCAATCCAACCTTGCTTTGAACACTTACAGGGATGTACTTGAGTGTAATTCTGAAGATTCATGAATTCGATATTTTTAATACTGAGATTTCTGGATGTGAAAGCCCTTTATAAGCCCTGCTATAAACTTGCAAGACAAGACTTAGACTGAGAAACTGAAGTACCAGAGAGGTGAAGATGTTAGCAAGTCTCTGATATTTTGAAGCCTGATGACGATAACTGTGTTGGGAGAGGTTTTACTGGGTCCCATAGACCTGTATACTTCCTGGCCCCTAAAAGCAGATCTGAGGGATGAAGAGGGGTAGTGGCATCCATAGATTTGATCCCATCTCTCAGCAGTTCAGTAAAAGAATTCTGAAGAGCCAAAGAAAGCCAGGAAAAAAAAAAATCTACCAGCTTCCTCTCCTCCTTCAGTCGCAGAATATGTTACATAAGTATGGTGATCATATAAGGCAGCACAGTAGACTTGCACAAAGGGAGGTCACCCCAGGGCGTTTGTGCTGTATCCAGGCATTTAACAAGCACAGCCAAGTGAGCAAGGCTGCTTCCTCAGCTGGCTCAGGGCAGCTACACTCTTGCTGTGACCTATCCTGTTTTCCTTCCTGGGCTGCTGCTGAGGTTTTCTAGAATCCTGAGTCAGGTGTGTGTCTGCTCCGGCACTTCAGCTCTCATACAGTAATTGCTGTGTGCATCTGCTAAGGGCAGAATTGCAGCATGATGAACAGCTGTGATTAATCTGGGATGTTAATATAGGAGCACACTGGCTTTAGAGCTGGCTTATTTAACTGAGAATCTCCTGGTGTACTCCTAGCTTGATATTGAAAGTGATTTGGGTTTGAAAGCCTAGCAAAACCAGCTGAAATCTTCCTCTGGGTTTCAGTGTATGTGAAGGTCTATATGAGAATGAAAGAAAATAATTTAAAATACTGTATGGTATTTATCTGAGAGAGCTTAAGTGCCTGAAACCCAGAAGCTGAGGGTGTGAGTCAGTTAAGGGATAATAAGCAGCTCCTCCTTGTGCCTTGAATGATGGTGTTATACTTTATGATGGCAGGAACAACATGAGAAATGAGAAAAGCAAAATTTTATCTGATGTGTGAAATGTCATGAGGGCAAGTATCACATACAATAAGTACAGCAATAAAATGGATTGACTGACAGAAACTCTCAATTTCTAGAATTAAAAGGGTCATATTTTTGTACAAAAGAAATATGAAGTAAGTTTTGTTTTAGAAATATCCATTACTGGTCTAATCCCAGGCAAAGTGTTGCATCCTTCATTTTTCTGCAATCCAAATTTTAAATAGAAAAGTATGAAAATTTATTCCTCTATG